AAATGGGAGGCTGGGAGGAGGCGGAAACTTTTTTTTCCCTTTTCTCAATAAAAAATAAAAATAAAATAAAATAAATAAATAAATTGTGTGAAACCATACACTATTTAAAATATGATAAAATGTTTCTAAAATTTGTCTCTCAAAAAAGAGAGGGACAGAAAATATTTTGATATTAAAGCACAATAAAAAGATAACAGATCTGATGAGCAACCTACACATATATGCCTTTGCCTTAATTAGTTAATGGAGTCACAGACTATCATTAGAGGGAAGAAGTTGGTGATGGTCACTGAGTGGCTTCATACATGCTCCCCAAAATTAATTGTGGGATCTATTTTTCTGAATGTGGAGTCAAAACTGGAGCTTTTGGGTGTGCTAGGCAAATCCTCTACCACTGGGCTACATCACCATCTCTTAGGATGTTGAGAGTCTCAGTAAGTAGAAAAGGCTATCCTTGAGTTAATTGGCTTCCTGTCTCTGTCTCCTAAGTGCTGGGATCACCGATGTGAGCCAGCACTGTTCCTGGTTGTATCTATTTTAAGTGATGAAATCCATATATCACTGGACTTCAGATAAAGTGAATGAAAGTCAAAAATAAATAAAAATAAAGATCATTCAGGAGTTAAAGAGGATGACTCAAAATTATGACTATAGTTCATTGTCAACTTAAAAAGTCACCTGCTTTTATGAGATTAAATTGGTAGGAATTTATATAAAATAATATTAATAATACACTAAAGTATACATATCGCTGATCACAGGAAGAAGTATATATCACTTTTACTGCCTTCATCTTCAATACAATTCTCACAATAACCTTTTACTACTTTATTGGAAAATATTAGTGCTTAGACCGTAATGACATGAGCAACTGCTTTGTTCAGAGGACATTTAGATTATGCAATGGAATTAAATCACAAGATACTTGTCTAAAAATTCAACTTGCCTTCATACAACAAATGGGTGGTAAATGTCCCTAACCATACAAATAACCATAGCCAGCCATCAGAAGTAATTTATTTGAATAAAATAATAAAAATTTCTTTAAAACATTTATTTGTATTCAAGTAAGCAGTCCTAATTCACCAAAATTATACATTTTCTAAATTAATTTAAATATTACTAAGAAAAGTCTGACTTAACTCCCAGTGTGAAAATAAAAGCAAAATTATATTTAAATTCTTATTAGTCAGCATTTTTCTGTAATATGTACTAATAAACTATGGACATGCTTGGCTGCAACAACCATTGCATGGGTGCTTACTATACTAAAAGTACCAGGGTAACAGGACTCATCAGACCTGCTACTAAAGGCTCAGTAAGAAAATAATGATGGCTCAGCGGGAAAAGCCTCATGACCTGACTTACTTTCCAGAGCACACATCATTGAAAGAGAGAACAGATTCCTGCAACTGTACTCTGCCCTCCACAGATACACACAAACTATAAAATAATAATAACATTAATAAGAAATCCCATATTTCTATACATTGCTGATCAAAAACATCAAATGCTTGCCTGTCAAAATGAAAGAAGAGAAAGAATATTAATTACCCTCATTTAATCTACTATCTCTACTTCATAAGATATCTTAAAGTTAACATCTAAAACCTGTGATAGTGGATCAATCAATACCCTAACCAACTCCGAGTGAAAGAGGTAAATATATATAAAAATGATAATAAACTAGATATAAAACTGATAATAGGAAGAAAACACTCACCACTAGTTAGTGGAATTTTTGCTAAGAAGACAAAAAAAAATCTAGCTCAGTGTCATTGGCTTTTAAGCTCTGGTGGTAAAGAGAAATAGAAGAGAAGAGAAACTCCAAATTGGATTAGTAACTCTGAAATGCATAAGAACATTTTTTGTTTGTTTGTTTTTATATCCCAACAAGTTTCCTCTCCCTCCTCTCCTCCCAGTCCACCCCCCCCACACCCCATCCATTCCTCCTCTTCTGTTTATCTGCAAAAAATGGCGGATATCCCATGGATAGCCAGCTGTCGAGCTGTAGTGAGACTAGGCACCTCCTCTCCTACTGAGGCTGAACAAGGCTATCCAGTAGGTCCCAGAAGCAGGTAACAGAGTCAGAGACAGCCCCTGCACCCACTGTTAGGAGTCCCACAAGAAGACTAAATTACAGAACTGTAACATATATGCAGAGGGCTTAGGTCAGCCCCCACCCCTTCAGGCTCCCTGGTTGTTGATTCAGGCCAGGCCCTGTGAGCCCCTATGAGTCAGGGTTAGCTGGTGCTGTGGGTTTTCTTGTAGTGTCCTTGACCCCACTGACTCCTACAATCCTTCCTTCCCCTTCCACCAGATATCTCAAGTTCTGCCTAATGTTTGGTTGTGGGTTTCTGCATCTGTTTCCATCAGTTGCTGGGTGAAGCCTCTCTGATGACAGCTGGGCTAGGTACCAATCTGTGAGTATAGCATAGTATCATTGGAATCAGTTCATTGACTTTTTTTCCAGTCATATTTGTTTCTATCTGGGCTATCCTGCCTCTGGGTCATGGCTCTAGGGGTGAGCACTCTCGCTTGCATGAGAGCATCTTATCTGCGTATCCTTAGTAGAATTCAGGAGATGAATTCTCTGGGGGTTTCCTTTTTGAAAATTGTTCCAAAGTGAATTCTGTATAATTCCCAGTCCAAAGCTTTTTCTCTACCATAAAGTTTTATTGGGTCTAGATCAGTAGTTCTCAACTTGTTGGTAGCAGATCAGACATTTTTCATATCAGATATATGTAATTTATGGTTGGGGTCACCACAACATGAGAAACTACATTAAAGAGTCAAAGCATTAGGAAGGTTAAGAACCACTGGGATATATGATTAAAGATAGGTTCATCTTGACTAGAAATCTAATAAGAATCTATTGTAACAATCTAACAGCCAGAATTTGAAGCATCATATTAAAAACTGTATGATTGAGTTCAACAAAGAAAGTAAATTAATGTTCTATGCACCCTACAAAAATGTGACAGCAATCTTATTTTCAGTCCGTCAGTCCTACTATGTCAGAGGTGCTGTGTTCACTCATGCTGTTTTGCTGTAATATCCAGCAATATTTAAGTGGAATTTTCCTCTCTGAAGAATGAATGAAAGTAGGGATTGGCCAGAGTTCAACTGCACAGAGAGGAATTACAGAAAGCACTGACCAAAACAGTCACCCTCATCTCTAGCTTTCCATGTCCTAACCAATCCATTTGTTGGTCAGGAAAGAGACATAGCCACCATGTTGTGTTTCCTTCCTTGATACACCCTGCATCGTGAGACTCCTGCTGAGCTCAATTTCATCTCATCTCCCAAGTGTACAATTCATCCTGAATGCAGTGTACTCTCAGCTTCTACCTCCTTTCACTATATTAAGATCTGTAAATAAGACATTCACGTTAACACAGTGTTTATCTAGCATAAGAGACCATCTAATATTATTTGTATTTGAAGAAACATTGAATTTTAGAAATTACTAACAATACTGATAGTCTGAGAAGTAATAATAATAATAGATTTTTTTTTTAGTATTGCATTTTTAACTTGGATATCAATGTCCCTTGCTTTGG